CCCCAAAACCCCAAAACCCCAAAACCCCAAAACCCCAAAACCCCAGGAAGAAAATTGGAGATTGAAGTACGAATAGATCTGAACGGGTTAGGTGGAGAGGTTATAGAGATATTTTATCCGATCAAGTTATTTAGCAAATTCACGAAGAGCAGCCTTAGATTCAGTTGGGTATTTAGCTTCGTGTTCTAAAAATGTACTAAATACAACTCCCTAAAGTTCTAACTCATGAGCAATCCAACCTTCGAGGATATCAGCAATTTGTGATCTGGCCTCAGTAATCTCAGGGGCATCGGTTGGCTTGTCTCCATAAAGATCAACACAGTGAGCACAGTCGTCACAGTCAATCACGAAGGTATGATAGGTTGGGTTGTCGGTTTCGGTAACACTTGCATGTTGCCAAGGATCTTCACCTCCGTTAGTGAAGATAATTCTTGAGGAGACTAAGTCTTTGCCTCCATAGAGTTCATTCCAATGATCGGTATCTGGGAAAATATCAACTCCAAATTCTTTAGAACATTGATCTCTCCAAAAATCAAGGTTAATCTGTTCACTTCTCATGGCAGGGGTCTAAAGTTGGATATTAGAATTGAAAAGGTAAAAAACTTACATCTCTGGAATAAGTCTGGAAGTAGCCAAGGTTAGAACAGATTTGGTAAGTCCATTGTCTCATGTTGGCATATGGATCAAGAGTATGGCTAGTACTATCTCCGACAAAGAAGTCATCGATTTTTAAGTTGTGAGAGTTCAGAGCGTTCCTGATAAAATTAATATAATCGTCCAAGTTATCCCCGGCTTCGGAAATCTGGCTACAAAGAGCTCTTCTTGATCCATATTGGACAGCTCCAGCTGGGAAATTTCCGAGGAATCCAAGGAAATCTAATGGAGTGACATCTCCTGGTCTGAATCCAATCTTTGAGAAGACTTCATCAGCTTTTCCTTCATCGAAGGCTTGTTCGAATGCTTTAATAAGCTCAATGTATTTATTTGGGCACCATTCTCCACTCTTAAGAGTTGATTTGTAGATCTGGCCATCGTATTGATGGTAATCCTTAATAGCATTAACAACAGCAGAAGAAGCGAGGGAAGCAAATGCGATATGTGGATATTTGGCTCTGAACCAAGCAGACATAGCACCTGGATAACTTCCTCCAACAGTGATCCATCTTCTGAATGGAATTCCATGTTGTTCAGTGAACTCTCTTGATTTATCAGTGGCAAATTGGGCAAGATCGGCAAGTCCTTGATCTGGGGTTAAAAATTGGAGATTCTCAGTAGACCAATCTGGCTTTGGCTGACTATATCCATAATATCTGTGCTCAAGAGCAACTACTCTTCCGTTGAATTTTTTGGCAAGATTGACAACAAAACTGTTATCAGCAGGTTGCTGACAGATTCCTTCACCACAGATGTACAAGAAGAGAGGTCCGGTTTCTGGATCCCAGTATTTATCAATATCGAAGTATCTCTGGGCAAATGTTTCTTTGTTCTGAGGGTTAAAATGGTCCAATTTCTGAGTATACTCATAAGCTTTCCCGAAGCTGTCAAATAACTCAGCTTGTCTGAGCTCTTCAAACTTATTTTGATACAATCTAGCAGAGGTCAAGGCCAAAACTAGCAATGTAATAAATACGATCTTCATATTTAATATTATTTCAGATATCAATAGGTTCTTTATATAACGGGGTTTTGGGGTTTTGGGGTTTTGGGGTTTTGGGGTTTTGGGGTTTTGGGGTTTTGGGG